GGTAATGTTTGGAAATGTTTCTGTAATTAAAAGAAGACGCTACCGAGGCTCCACACTGGCGAAGGTCGTACTCCCTCTGGGCCCGTGCTTCACCTTCTTTCCTCCGCCGGGGGAAACTACTGTGGTGATTGGTCTGCACAATATCCCTAGCGTTAAACGTTGTTCTTGGGCCAATAAGACAGGAGCAATTAGTGATTTACAATGGCTTACCTTCCCAGTGTGATGATGTTCAGAAAAAATGTAATTCAACTTGTGGCTTCGAGAATTATGTGTTATACAGGAGGTCTGCTCTTAAAGCCGCCTTTGTCTACTTTCACACTAAGTCCGCCTTCGAAGCCTTAACGCAAAAAGACGCCTTTGACTTTTCTAACCAGCTCTTTGAAGGAAGCCACGTTTTGAAGCGACTCGAAAACATTCCAAACCTAAGAAGCCAATCTCAACAAATAGAAAGCTCACTTGTAAAGGGGAATTGCGTGCCCTCTGCTTACGCTCACAGTGCGTGCTATCACAAGCGCCAGAGGTCCCAAGCACTTCGTAACTCGGTTGCCTCCCAGTTCGAGCTTCAGCCTTTCAAGACCCCATAAACAAAACATGCAGCTCTCCGAGTCTTATTCAAGAACTATTTGAGCTCGAAAAACAGCTAAAGAGTTGTCCTCACAGTTGCTTCCAAAGGAGATATAAACACGTATATCTGAGACATGGGGTCCGGAATTTGTGGTTGTTTTAGAGGCATCTACAACATATCTGAGGGAAGAGAAGGAGCTGGAAACATATCCATTAGCTCAACTCTTCTCTCTGACATTGGTGGGAGTTTGGGATTATTCCTTGGCGTATCGATATTGCATGTATGGAATCTCGGTGTGCGAATTGGATTTGCCAACCAAAAGGGGGATTTCAGCCACGCAGGAAAACTACTGAAACATATAGGAATGTTGACAGCATGTTTGGCAACGTCTACCCACTGTCTCCAAGAGCTTAAAATGTTCTTGTCACAACCTGTATTAACATCGGTGTCCTTAGGAGCGCCGTTAGACGAGGCCGATGACCTCATCACAGCCCTCGCCCGTCGCCTTGCTAGCCGAGCCCTTGACTGCCGCCCGCAAGAAGCACCGCTTATGAACTGCCAGATTCAGTGCTTGCTGGAAGGGTCGGCAAAGGAAGTCAAGAGTGCTATTCCGTTCATCAGCGTTGAGGATCTGCCGCCATGCAAGGCTCCAGGTTTCGTGATCCCTTCTCGTGACTACGTTGTGCCATCGGAGACGCTCATGGTAGCTTCTCTCGACATTTTCATTCGTGCATCAAGTCGTGTGAAGCATTGCACAGAAAGAGTAACACAAGTAGTTTCGCTACATACATGCACGTTGACCAGCATTATCGCTCTTATGACC